CGGCCCTTGATAATAGAGCCAGAGCTTCGCTGAAAAAGAAAAAAAAGAGTGTGCTGCTCGTGACGAGAGAAATCCAATGATTTTAGGGTCCTGGTCATCGCTGACGAGAGAAAGCCAATTATCTTTACCTATGTCCTGGTCAATGTTGAGATCCTAGGTCGACCTCCCAGATCAGGAGGTCGGTAACCCAAAAGCACGGAAAATTGGGTCCTGCTAGAATTTCTCCAAGTGAAGTTTGCTGAGACTTGGCTTGCTCCTGACTTCGAATTTTCACTTGCTTTGTTCAAAGATGATGTATCAAAGCATTTCGGGTAGGACGGGTTACGCCAGATCATCCATTAGGATTTAGGCGCTCCGCCGGCTATCCATAGAATGTTAATTAACCAGCACTGACAGCCTTGCAACATGTTGCATAGGCACTATACCTGATACCAAACTATGCCTAGTTTTCAAATGCTAAAATGGGTGCTAAATTTCAAACCAGCACTTCCTAAAAACCACGGTAAAAAGGTGTAAATTAAAGGAAGTTAACGGAGATCATTTCAAGTAAATGACCTTAAAGGGACTATCCCACCTTTACATTAGATTTGAGTTGAGATAGCCAAGTTTGCGGCGAGGTTCAGAAACCACTATCTATCTAGGTTGCAACCCCCGCGGCCTCGTGGTGTTGAAGAAATTCGTTCCCTTCATTTGAAAATGGGCCTTGTACAAGGCCCAATCTCTTAACCATTAACGGCAATCTGATGACGTCATTTGCATTTTGAGCGCCTGTCACGTATTTAATTCAAGTACCACTTGATTTATCAATAAGCTGGCGTTGTCGGCGCACAGAGCTGGAGTATACCAAGAGATAACCACGGTGAGTAGATTATACGTCTCAAATTGAGTTTTTTTCTGGTTGTGGGATAATGATGAGTTAGAATTATAAGTGATCTACTTATTTTGTTTCAATTGGTCATGCCTCGGCTTTGCTGTGTCATTTGCGGAATATATAATACTCAGGGTACAGTTTTCAGGTAAGTTTTAATAGACTGCTTTTGCCTCAGGAGGTGCCAGTTTTGTCAAATTTCGAGGCACTGGCAATGCCATTTTTATTATTTTATTCATGCAAGGTAACAATATGGCGATAATTGTCTTCGGTTTTGGTTTCCACACAAATACTTGGAGGGCATTTCTTTATCTCGTTCTTTTTCGCCTCTCCCTTTTTATGCAAGGTTCAAGAACGATATGCCACAAATATTTGTGCTTACAATGTATTATTGTAAAAGCAAATATTTTTTGCAAATTTCTCTCCATTTTGTCTACATATTTGTTTTGCTGCATTTTTCACCTTCACAAATCATGGTGTCCGGTGCACAAGTTTTTGTCAGCTAGGCCTTGTGAAGGTCAGACAAAGATGAAAGAAATGTGACCCAAGAAGTTTGCAGACAAGGAAATGGCATACAAAGTGCACCTCCCCCCTTTTACATCCTAATGGACCACACCACAAGTTTCTTTGAGAGCATCCTTGATTTTCAGTTAACCGCGGGTTGTTTAAACTGAAAATCAAGGATGCTCTTAAAGAAACTTGTGGTGTGATCCATTAGGATGTACAAGGGGGGAGGTTTACTTTGTATGCCATTTCAGTGTGAACAGTAAAACGCAGCTCAGCTCACTTCAGCTCACGTTCCGCTCAAACCAGCTGCGCTCGGCTCAGCTCAGTTTCAGCCAGCTCAGCTCGGTTTCCGTTCAGCTCAGCTCAGCTCAGTTTCTGCTCAATTCAGCTCAGCTCAGTTTCTACCCAATTCAGCTCAGCTAGGGGAGCTTTTCCCATATAATAACCATCAGAACAGGGTGAGAGTTCCAATTAGCACCTTTGTCCCACTCCCAATATGATATGGTGCTTATCCCACAACCAACCAACCAACCAACCAACGAAAAGGAACATTTTGCCAATTTCTAATTGAAATTTTTTCTTGCAGAGGTAAGAAACCTAATGGATGAAATTAATTTAATCTAAATGACTGCTTTTGATATTTATAAGTTATAAGTGAAGAAAGCTGAATTATAATTGTCACCAATTTTGGGGATAACTTTGTGGGAAGAAAACGAGACATTTCCCCACAAAAACAAACCTGAAGTTTGAAAAGAGTTTATTATTTTAATAAAGGAAGTTGAATTGCAGGTCAGAGAAAATGGTGGTCGACTTCAATGATACTTCAGTCAGTTGTAAGGTGGAGATCGCAGATGTATGATGATGCTGTTGTAATTTTGGACTTTAGGTATTCTTTATCCCTTGCCTGCACGGGGGGCCACCCGCCCCCCCCCCCCCAGTTAGTATTTTCTGCTCTGCACTCAACATTTTTAAAGCTAGATGCTTTATTTTTCGCATCAGTATAGCTGCGTCTCAATCCTTTCTCAGCGTCCAATGAAAATTTCAAGATTTCATTTTTTTGCTGGACTTACCTTTCATCTATCATGATTTTCGATGTTGTATAGATGTCAGGGTCAAGGTCAATGTCAACCTAGGTCATCTAAAAGCATTGCATTTTAGGCTAGCTGTTAACTTTAAGTGAAGTTTTTTTGCTGCATTTTTTTTGGTAAAAGCTTCTCAGTTTATGATGCCATGTAATAGGGACACACAAACCATTCTGTGCACACATCAGTATACACACAGACACACACAGACAAACACATATCATTGACCTTGACCTAACTTGACCTGAAATGGTCACAACCAGTAAAAATCTAGTCGGATAGTGTGACAAAGAGCTGTTTTAGCTGGCTTGGCACCACAAACTCAGTATATGATGGGCACAGCACGTGATATTCCAACGGTGGCCCCAAAAAGCAACATTTTTTAGTTTGACCTGACCTGGAAGGTCAATGACTGACCTGAGAAGGTAAAACTGGGTATCATTGGATTCGTCTCTTCCCAAAAATCGTTTTGGTCCTTACCGCGAAGCTCTATCTCCAACAGGAACGAAATGGCGCGGAGGGGGTGGCAACCGCCCCCCCCCCCAATGTGCGTTCTAGGATGGGAAAATGGCATGTGCAGGCGAGGGTTAAAGCATAGAGACTAGAATAGAGATATACTTTGTCGTGTTTTGAGTGTAACGTCACAATTCTATAACTTTTTGTTTCAAGGGTATGGATATGACTCGGTCGCATTTTCGATTGGTGCAGTTGCGATAGTCCACGCCCCCCGCCCTCCCGCATATACCCCAGCTCTGACCGTGTCCAAACCCCTCCTGTGCACGCCCCAGCTCTGACCGTTCCCCGTCCCCGCCCCCTGTGCACGCCACAGCTCGTTGCGGGACAGCTCGTACACGGAGGAGGTGGCCGAGGACTCGGAGGGCGTCGCCGGCGCAGCCGCCGCGCAAACTGAGCTCGCAGCGCTCCGAGCTGGAGGAGGCCCCTGCAGAGGAGCCGCTGCCGAAGGTACCGGCCGCTGCTGATGACCCGAGCAGGCGTCCCCGACGACGAGCAGGACGAACGGCAGGTGGCGCCGCTGGAGGAGCACCACGTCAACGAGTCCTTCATGCGGTACGGTACGCTGCCCAAAGGCGCGCACATCGGCGCCTTCCTGGACTCGCTGCGGGAGAGCGGTTTGCGCGGCAGTGCGGAGGGTGGCGAGGCGGCCGCGGGAGCGGCAGGCGAGGCCCGCGCGCTGCGCAGTCACACGAAAGCAGAGGGCGTGCGGCCGCCGGCCTCCGCCGCCGCCGCCAAGAAGCCCTCAGCCATGGTGCGGTCCAACTCGTCCAACAGTGAGTTTCAGAGACCGCGGCTGTCGCGGCTCAGTCCGCTAGTGTTTGCCGGCGCGGCGGGGACGGGGCCGGCGCGGAGTCGGCGACCGACCGGCGCCGGCCGTCTTCGCGCCAGAAACTGAAACCTGCCGAGCTGGGGTTTCCCCCGCCGCCGATGGAACTGCCGCCTCCTGACGACATCGAGGCCGACTTTATCGTCGACCCGACGTTCCCGCCGACGCCGCCGGGCCTGAGGGACCAGTTGTCGAGCGGCGGTCCCGTGATACCGCCGGCCACCCGGTGCCCAGTCCGCGCACGCAGCGCCGCGCCGAGTACCTCGGACCTCTCCGAGCGCGCCAAGCGCAGCGACGACCTGGTGACGCGACTAAGGACCGGGCAGCGCTCGCGGCCGCAGCCGCCGGCGTCCCTGACCCCGTCCATCAGCGCTCAACTGGTCTCGGAGATTCAGCAGAAACAGCGCGAGAACCGTGCCGAGGGCGAGCCGCCCGCAGCGGCGGCGGCCGACTCGCAGCGCTCCGAGTGGGCCCGCTCCGAGGCCAAGCTGCAGTTGTTTGGACAAGCTGGGCCTGCTGCTGACGGCGTGCGGCGCGCACGCTGGCCAGGTGCCGCCCACCGGCTGGCTCCGGTTCCGCGCCCTGCAGCGGCGCCTGGAGACGCACGCCGGCACTCTGCGCTCGGCCGGCGGGCGCGCAACAGCAGCGACGCCCAGCGGCTGTTATCCAAACTAGCCAACACATTGCGCGACATGTTCAATGTGGTGCAGCGATGAGAGACCGGCGACTGCGCCGCCACGAGCTGCCCGCGCCGTTTGTTTTTGTGATATCTAATATCCATTTTATTGCGTTGACGGTGGCTCTTCTACGATTTAGTGGAACCAGTGTGTGGGCGCCGCCTGCGGCCACCCGGGTGTGACATTCCTTCCCGTCTCTGTCTCGTTTCTTATATACAGAAATCGAATGAGTTTTCATGCGTACCCTGTGCTTTGCGGATGCGCAAAACACAGGGCGTAACAGGCCGCCGCCACAGCCTGTTACGCCTTAACTCATATGCTACGCAAACAGTCATAGTGATCTCATGATACCCACAACCTACATACCAACTGTTTTAACGATGTGTACGAATGATCGTGTGCCTGTATTTTACCCATGCCTACTTGTTTTTATGCTAATTGACATGCGTTGATGAAAAGCCGCGAAGGCGGATTAACGTGAATAAATGAACTTGAACTTGTATGCTTTCATTGAAAGTGGCACATAATTTTAGGGATATATTAATATTCAGATAAATAACGTCAGTCTCGGCGCACTCAATGGTGCGCTCTCGGCGCACTCAATGGAGCGCAGCTCAATGAAACGAACAACACGTTTGCGGTATCTCTCCTAGCTGGTGAAGGGAACGACAATGTCATGGGATTCGTGGAGTCCACGACGGCGAGCAACATTCATTAAGAGGGCAGCGTCTGCGGCAATTGGCCACGGTTCACAGGTCCGTTCTCGGTTGGTGGCAGACGCCAACGACCCGGGCACAGCTGAATACCAGCCGGCCGCCGTCGCCCGTCAGTCCTGCAGGCAGCGTCACTGGCGGCCGGCACATCGAGCGAGGACCGAGGGACGGCTACAGCACACAAAATACGCGGCGGACACTCCCCGGGCGGCGTGGCGCGGCAGGCCACTGCCGCCGCCCCTCTCCACACACATATAGATACATAAACACACACTCGGCGCTCGCCAGTCGTGTCGCGCCGAGTTCACAGTTTGATCACAGCATGACAGGACGTGGTGAGCGCGCGGGTCCCGGACGGCCGGCCGCCGGGCCGCAATCAGCCACCGGCACCGCAGGTCGCACACCGTTCTGCAAGGCCGGCAGCGTCGCGAAAAACACCGCCGGGTCGCGGGCCGCCCCATCATACACTTTGCTGAGACAGACGAAGATCTCAGCACACTTGAACCGGCAACAGAACGTGTTGCCGCACAGCAGCCGCGACGGCGGCGGCGGCCGGGGGCGGCGCGCGCCGCGCATGGATGGCTGCTCTCGTCGATGAAGCCGAAGTGAACGTTCACTGATTTTACTCTTTTAATTCCGAACTGGCAGTGTTCACAGTTTACAAGATCACAGGCTCGTGCTGAAGTGGCGTGGCGCGCGCCGCCCCACAGTCTGGCAGTGAGCCTGAGAATCTGCATCTGAGCGGCGGCCTGCTGACTGGAGGACACCTCACACTCAGCCTGTTTCTCGAGTCGCCGCTGCACCTGCGCGCCTGTTCGACCAGCCGCGCGCGCCCCTGCTCCAGGCGCAGGTCAGCCGCGCGTCTCCCGCTCTCCTGCTCCAGCTCGGCGCGCGCGCAGGTCCTCCAGGGTGTGGTGTGCTCAGCCTCGGCGGGGCGGCCAGCTCCGAGTTGCGATGCGCCAGTTGCTATTCGGTGGCTGACAGCCCGGCGACTAGGCCTGTTCTCCGACTAGGCCGCCTGGGATCGACTTTTACGGATGGAACGCCACGATTCTACGATCCTTGTCCAGCTTCTGCAGCAGCAGAGCGAGTCACTGGCAGCGCTGTTGCTGCCAGACGACGGCCGTCGGCGCCCGGCGCGTCGCGCAGCGGCACATGCGCCGCGGCGATCGAGCACGGCGCGCCGTGTCAGCTGATAGCTGCTGAGCGCCGCTAACCCCGGCGCAGCAGCTGACGGAGCGCCGCGCCACACGACAACCTGACGGGACGCGCGGGCGGGTCAGGGGGAGTGGTACCCGACAGGGTCAGCCACATCACAGCCACACCTACCTCACCCCACACTGACAAAGTGCCACCACGCCAGTAAAATGTTTCACCTCAGAATAGCATGAACCTAGAAATAAAACAGGATTGCATAGCTCCTGTATAGAAAAGTCAGAGAAATATAGCATAGACACAAATTATTGGACCGTAGGCAAGATTTTGCTGAGGGAGGGGCCACAGGTCGGGGCCTAGTGTCGTACCCCCTTCAAAAGGAAAACTCCTCGGATTTGGCCCACTATTTTTGGGGGTGTGGTGCAGCTGTTTTAATTTATTTTAATTTTTTATTTTATTTTATTTTATTTTTCACCTTCAGGGGGAGACCATGACACCCGTGGGACATGAACACCCCCTTGGCTGCATCCCTGCACTGAATGAAGAAGCAAATTGAAGAAGCGGCTTTGACCATAGGCGCAAAAAATGACATGGAACAGTCAACAGACTACATTTTTATGGAGCAGGCTACGTTTTTTATGCAGTATGTTATATAGTGAACATTGCATGTTTTATATAGGCAATTTACTCTTCATGAACCCATTTTGCTACGCACTTATCTACTTTTCAAGTTTCAATTGATGGGCCAATGCTCGTGTATATAATTGTCAGTATTCAAATATGATGCTGAGACATGTTCAATCTCTGACAAACTCCTTGTATACAAAAAAAATTATAGTAGTATGCAAAACTCATAACTTACTGATCACTTTCTGTCAACAGCCTGCAAGCAGCATTGCGAGTTTCCTCATGCAGTGACAGAGACCTCTGTCATGTGCTTACTGCATGGTGTGTTTTGTTGGCTTTAAAGAAATTTCAACAGCTAAGAAGGAAAAACAAAACATTTCTTTAGAGACCTGCATGATAGCAAGCTAAGATGAAATGAGTAAAAGCATACCAAAGATCCTAATCAATAGGTTCGGAATGGAATAGCTTGTGAGGTGTTATGTATTACGCTGGTTGCAAGGTTTGTAGGTTGTAGGTATCTGGCATGGAGGCTTTAGGTTAGTATTACAAACATTTTAGGAAAGTAGGTAAGGTTAGGTCAGGAAAGATTGTTTGTTATTTTCATCCAGATTTCAGACTTGTTCACTTTGTATCTAAAATTGACACAAACATGTTAAAAGTAATGGTGAAAATATGCTCCTTTCCTATGTGAATTGTGGTGTTAGCATTTGAATTTTATGTGCAGGAAGTCCAACAAACTCACATTGACTAGGCATCAGTAAGGTATCATATTGCCAACTACAAAATGCCAAATCAGAGACACTTTTGTTATTGTATGAGCCGCGTCATATTTGAAAGCAAATATATTTGCTGCCAAATTTTCCCCCCTCATTGGCATGAAGTAAATCCTTCATGACGTCACAGATCCGATCTAAATGACGTCACGATGAAATATAAAAGTCGAAATATCTTAAAAAGTATAGTATGAAAATGCGTAATAACTTCCAGAATTCGTCACAATACCCTGAGTAACATTTCCGAATCCTAAACGGGACTTTTTTGAAGGTGGGATAGTCCCTTTAACCTGAGTTTCACGTGACCTTGGCACCCACAACAATCAATGAGACAAACATTAAATCGTATATTTTACATGTTGTCACGCCCCTAATCACGAAACGACTATGGAAACACATAGAAGATGTGCGCTGACTTTCAATTGCTATTCTGGCCTGACATGATCTTGAGAAAAATAATCACAGGTCAAAGGTAATTTGGTTGAGGGATTTAAAGGTAGTGTGCCACCTTTGAAAGATTTCCCATTTTATTTTTCCTAGGATAAGAAGCTTCTGTTTTTACCTAATATCGCAAAAAAAATCAAAAATGGGCCTGGAATAGTGCCTTTTTCGCCTAAAAGTTTTTCGGTTTTTAGATATGTATAACAACTGTAGTGGGCTCACCTGCAAACAGGCGTCGGGCAACAATCGCGAATGCGGCGCACTTGTGACAATAAGCAAAGGTCATTATAGTGTTACGACCATACGACGTACGGGAATGAGTTATCAGCTGTCTAATCGTAGACAACACAATGTCGAGCCTTAAACTGTAAGCCCGTATTGGTATTGTTTCTTTTATTTGGCTGTCGAACATTATTTATGGTTTGAAATATGATTTTATGTAAAATAATTGATATGAAAAAGCCGTCTTATAAGTTATGACCCCATTTCACCACACGCAAGTGGCAGAAATGACAATGATCAGCTGACGCATTTTTCTTGGCCGAAGTCAGAGCGCGCGGCCCGACGCACCACGCGTATTTGGAAATTCCGACCTCGACGAGCATCAGAAGCCACCTAACAGGCGTGTTCGAAACCGCAGGAGATGATGATGAACGGGTTTATCGAAACTTGATTGGATGAGCATATCGGTAATAGCGATTTCAGTGTGTGCATTTATTGTTCATAGTGGTGTGAAATGTGGTTGGGGTACGACCGACAACCCGTCGGGGCGAATTTCGCACTGGGGTACTCAAAATTTGAAGAATTTAAGACGTTTCCATGAGTTTTGAAGGTATGGATAAGTTCTAAAAATCCGGTTCTCCTTATCTGGGCCATTAACTCCATACGGTCCAAGAAAGCTGGCACACTACCTTTAAAATTCTCGGAGAAGTTGCAAAAATGATAAGGACTATTAAATTTTCCGGGAAGTTGTAAAATTGATTAACTCCAGGGCACCAAAGAATCGTCGCAATGCAATCCTTCGCTTTGCCGTGATTTCATATTGGTGAAAAACAGGGGGCGCGGTCTAACTTACCTCTACTTATATGTGTGGTGAGGGTTAATATTCATTTTATCTGTGCTGATGAATGTACGACAATTTCCACATGAACTGAGACCAGTCCATATGAGTATGTTTTTCTCACGGACAATGACAATATAGAAGCAATGCGAATAAAACCAAACGTTTCGGACAATAACGTGCCTTCGTCAGTGGAAAAAAAAATAAGTGTAGGTTTAACATCGATGAGAACTATATGCGGCACCGTCTCGGTCTGGCCAGCCGGGTTGCCGATAAAATACACAAATGTTTATAAGCTTCCATGATGTGCTTAAAAAACTGCTGAAAATATAGGTATCTTAAAAAAATAAAGTTAACTACTTCACCGATTTTATCGAAAGAAAACATCTATGCCTTTATAGTTACTTATTTCTTGCCACTGACGGAGGCATTTTTTGTGCGAAACGTCTGTTTTTATTCGTATTTTATTGTATTGTCATTCCCTGTGAGAAAAAGGATAACTCTTCAGTTAGTAACCATAAGAGCATAACGGCTTAATGTAACACTTCACTGTGTATACGAAACCTATAAGTCCCTAAAAATAATCCTATTTACAGCTTTTAAAAGATACAGCTTAGGCATACAATTTCTATTCTGCATTAAGATAATATTCATTTATCGCCACAGAATATGTTAAATTAGTGCTGCTGAAGTTCGCTTTCGAAGCGTCTCCTCCAGGCATTCCACAGCTCTCTCAAGTGCCATTTTGGATCACGGAACATGGCTGGGCGCGGGACAGGTCGTCTGCGAGCTTGGACGGACCACGTGACCACCTCCCCTCCCCCTCACTCCCGTCCCCTTCCCCAGCAGGGCGTCCGATCTAACCGCGCCCCAGGCAGTCGGCTCGGTCCGACCCTCACTGATCGAGCCACGGCCCGGTGCCGCCTGAGTTTGTGCCGGGTGCAAAACTGGAGCAGTAACTAGCGCCGGAACTAGTAATCAGCACGACCATCGTCAGATGGCAGGAGTGAATGGAATAAGCGGTTCCAGGTTTCAGAAGGAATGGGGCAGGAAAAAGCGCTGAAAACAATGTTTTGCTGATATAGCCATAAAAAGTTCACTGAATTAGGAGAGCAGCACATCAGTTTAAAGCCCTTCAGATGGTGGTTTCAATCAGCACACAATCATTTCTCAATTCGTCTCCAACGGTGTCACAGGCCAAGAATACGCTGAAATACTAGTGTGTACAGAAGCAACTGCGGGTCCCTGTACCCCCTCGCAATTTCGCACGTGCAAGGCCCATCCTCTCGCTCGCTCCGTTGGTCGCCCAAAAGGCGTTTTACTGGTGTTCTAACTGGTGTGTGAGTGACCGCTAACCATGGGTGTAGTTTTCCAAAAATCATTGGGGGTGCTCAATAGCTTTCAGAAAGGCATGCCATAGTTTTTGTAGCTTTTTTTAGCTGTTCTTTTTTACTGTAGCCATCAGGCATCATGCAAGAAATGATGTTAAATCGGTTCGAGAGCTTGTTTTAACAGCGCCACTGTAAAACAATTTTGGCTCACCCAATGCATTAACCCGCGCGGGGCTGGGGTCTCCAGCCGAACGCGCGGGGCTGGGGGGATAAATTTTACCCCCTGTTATCTCCCGAAATAATGGTCCGATTTGGAAAATTCAAACGCCAATCGAAAGATCTCATCACGAATAAGTAAAAACATGTACTTAATTTAAAGTTTGAGGTCAAGGTCAAGGTCAGGTCAAGGGTGCAAATTGCAAGTTTCTACAGTATCGGCCTTGCACCGTATAGTTGTCGAAGAATGGAGTCATGGACTGAGACTGATTGCCCAAAACGTGTTTGGGCCTGACCTTGGCCATAAGTTTGGCAGGCCAGATTTTGTACTGGACCATTTTGAGTCAACTTTGAGAAATACATAACGTATAACGGTGGTAAAATCGTTGCTATAGGTATAACACAGTTTACCCGCTCCGGGTGTGAGGGAGGGATGTGGATTGTGGGGCAATGAGTGCACTGACGTGGCGCCCTCGGAGGGCCGGTATGGGATTAAAGCTCAGCTACACTAAGGGCTTGTGTGGTGCCTTCAGTTATCGGTGGCACCCTCAGAATCACTGGCGTAGGGCCCTCAGAGCCGCCGGGAAGGGAGGCACCGGTGTGGGGCCGCCATGCCGGTGCCGGTGTGGGCGATCAGAGGTGCTAGTGTGATTCTCTCAGAGGCGCCGATGAGTGTCATAACAGGCGTTGCTCCGGGCCCTCATAGACGCTGGTGTAGAGCCGTTACAGACGGGTGTGGGGCCTTTAGAGCTGCTGACGCGAACTCTCTACAAGTCGGCAGGGGGTCTCAGTGATCGGCAAGGGGTCCTTAGGGCTTAGGCCGGCAGAATAAGTCCTGCGGGGTCCTAAGAGACCGGCATGGTACTGTCAGACGCCGGTAGGGCCCTCAGGGTCACCGTTGTGGGGCCCTCAAGTCATCAGTGGGTGGCCTTTAGATGCACAGGTGTTGGGTGGGTCCTCAGAGCCGCCGATATAGGGCTTTAACCCGCGCCCTGCTGGGGGGAGGTGTTTGAACATCCCCCCTTGTGGTTTTTCGCGAATATCTCAAAAACGGCGGCGCGGAGCGCCGCCGTTTTTGGTACACCTTATCATACATCAATTCTACACATGTTGTTAAAATTTCAGACCAAGGTCATTCAATGCAACATGACCCTTTCCGGTCAGGTCATGACCTTGACCTGAGGTCAAATTTTCAAGTTGACCTTTCAAGGTCAACTTATAGTTCATTCGATGCGTCTTGACGAGAGGAACACGATGCCGGTAAAAGTAAGCTCGTACAAGGCTTGGGTCAAAAGTTATTACAGAAAAACTGTTTCCGAAAAAATCGGCTATTTTTGCAGTTTTTGCCCCCTGCAGGCAAAACCGTTGACGTTAGGTCAAATCTGAGAGAATTGCTCAGAAAGGGCGTTAATAGGGCTATCGAATGCGCTTTTCCGCCGCGCTGTAGCTTTTTTGGTTCCCGAGTTATGCGTTGGCTTTCTGGAAATTGTCGACATTCGACCTGAAAATCGGCGAAATTTTTCCTTCAATGACCTCTGGTGACCTGACCTTTGACCTGACCGAAAAATTGACCGAAGTTATTTCGTCATTATTTTCGACGCTCTTTCGAACGCCGCCTTCCGCGTATCGCTACGTGGCCCAGGAGCCGAGTTAGAAGGGGGGGTGTTCAAACACCCCCCCCCCAGCAGGGCGTGGAAATCCAGGACCCCCAACCGGGCGCGGGTTAGGTACCTAAACATGACACAATCAACAATGACTCGGAAATTTGCACCTGTGATCCCTCCAGTGTTCTAAAATTGGATTTTGGTTGGGTGTGACGATGATGACCAAAAAATCTAGGATGAGAAAAAAACAAGTGAAAACCTATATCACTTTCGCAATAAAGGCGTAACGCTACGCTGGC